ATAAAATTTTACTTAATTAAAAAGTGAGGGGAAATCTTTGAGTTTTATGAAACTTTCAAACTCCTTGTAACATGCTAGATTTCCAAAATTCTTACTTTTCTCAAAAAGCTTGAATTTTACCATTAACAGTAAATAAAGTTAGTTGTCCCTGGTATGACATTTCTTTCAAGAAAATATTTACCAAATAGTGAAAATGATAGTTTATATGTCAAGTGTTCTTTATGAAAAAAGTAGCTATTTTAGGTAGCAGCTAAATAATCATACAAATGCTTTTTCCTTGAATTAGCCTCCTACTTCAGTATGCAAGTGCTTTAAGCATGTTTTCCGTTGTTGTCACATTATTTTTAATAATACAATTAATATTTTTGACACAGTATTTTAAAAAAATTCTCAAAGGTTGAGATTCAATACAATTAATATTTTTTTACTACTCAGCAAGAATATTCTTATATGAAACTGGTTTACTTTTTTTTTTTAAATTACAACTGTCTTGAATCATACTGGCCACACATAGTATAATGCTAGTGCTACATGAGTATCAATGTTAATTCAGATGAAAAGACAAATAGTGTTTTAATATTATTATAAACATAGCTCTGCTCTCACAAATCTTAGAAGATTCTCAGGGACCACCAAGTATCCATGGTACAAACTGAGAACTAGTGGACTAAAATATATTTTTTTTAAAATTTAAATCCAACTTCAGTGTAGCCTTGTAAATTATTAGAATGTTGAATTACTCATTAGATAAGCACAGTGCAATACACTTTCCTATAGAAGACACAGATGATTCACATAAGAAAAGCAGACTTTCAAGTGCTTTTCTATTGTTAATATTCCCTCTCCACTAAGAAGAGCTTTAAGTGGACATACAGCTTTTAACAATACAAACATCTTCAAAACATACATTTTAAAGATATATTATTCATCACTGGTCTGACAAAGGATCAAATTTAAGGCTTCTAGGAAGCTCAAAGATTTTTGCCTTGCTATGCCTTTCATTTTTTTGCCTTGCTATGCCTTTCATCCAATGTGGAATAACTGTCTCCTTCCACCTCTTCCTGTCACATCAATCACTCACAGTCTAATCTTCTATAAGGAAGATTCCCATGTCTAAATACTAAAGTTGGGCAAGATCCAGGAATGAGCAACTCAATGCTTTTGGAGTTTCGCCCTGGCCCTTAAAGACAAAAGAGCACTGGAGATTAGAGCACCAAAATGAGAGTTCAGGGTCTCTCCAGATACAACCCCAAAAGTTCTTTCCTTTCAGATGAACCACCATCTAGACAGGACACTGTCTAGATGTCCTATGGCTGGACCATGGCAAATCTTTTAAGGCTGACAGGACTGGTATACAGTGTCCAGGTCTCTTAATGGTGACTCTCAAAAAGCAGAGACATTTGGTTTTATTTATTCAAATTACACATCATTCTCTATATTGTTTTAGCCCATAGAGTCTGAGTAGGTATCTTGTTGGCCTGGCACTTGATACAGACTTAACTGGTAATAATGATAGCTGTGATGACTCAAACTTATCTTACTATGGCCCTTTCTGTCTTCCACAACCATATCTGTGCAGACCTGTCTGATTTCATTGGATCTCATATTTGGTCCAACACTAATTCCCTCACTGCCTGTGTGCTACAGTTTAGAGCTAACTTAAGGGTCATATACTCTAGGACTCAATCCTGAATCATTTTTCAAGTATTCCAACTTCACCTGCCTTTTTTTTTTTTTAATCCTACATCATTCCACTCCATCTTCTCTGCCAGATATGTCATTATATAAGACTATGTCTTTTACCTCTCCTACCTCCCTCACCAACTCCTCATATACTCAAACCTAGCAAGCTTACACTCTGTAGCTTCCTCAGCTAACTAGACAGATATATTATTCATCACTGGTCTGACAAAGGATCAAATTTAGGTTCAATCCAGGCATCTGCAATCACTAATACTAATGTTGCCCTGGCTTCCAATACATTGTTTATCTTACCCTACAAACCATGTCTATTGCTGCAGGAAGGAGTCCTTTCTCTGCTTTCTACTTCAACTCCATCTATTATTCTGAGTGCTGTGACTCCTCACATCTACACTCGCCTGGAAGGTAAAGGTATACATCTCTATCATTCTGTCCCATCAAAGACCATTATTATTACATATAAAACCCTATTCATCTATTCCTCCCCCTTCTCCATTTCTCATAGTCTTAGCTGCCCAGTGTCTTTATGTCACCCTTATGCACTGTATCTTATACTTCCCTGTTTTTCATGATAGCCAGGAGAGAGGTATACACATTGTGTGCATTCAATACTTTCATGAAATTAATGATGTACAATTATTAAACATTAACATTTGAGATTTTCAGAAAAGCATTGTTTCCAGCTCTGCTTAGAGAAATCATAAAGAAATACACTGATCTGCAGAAAAATAAAATAAAATAAAAACAACTTTCTAGACTTTTCCAAATTCCAGACTGTCTTCTGTATGATTTGTCTGACAGCTGAAAGTAAACTAGTCTTTGCAAGCACTAAATTGCTCATCAATCTTACAAAGAGTGTCATTCAGTCAATTACTTTCCCTAAGGAAATATAAATGGAATGTAGCTTCTGGAGAAAAATTAATTCACCCAACTCCAGTAAGTAGCTCACAGAGAAGAATAACTTTCACCATTCTAGGGTACCTGAATCCATATTCATTCTTGTTTTACCAGGGAAAACAAGTTTTGTATTTTCTTTTTATTTAGATTTAAGCTGATTAGTACAGTTAAATGTGTATGAAACTGTAGCCTAACAGTAAATGTCATAATACCCACATATGAATATGAGAGAACTAAAATGCAGGGCCTTTCTTTTATCTGAAAATACAAATATTGCCTCCATATCCTACCAAACTCTTCTAAGGTCTTCTTAAGAGCATTCCGTGACAGAAGAGAACACTCAGTCTGACAATGTAAAGCCAACAGAGAATTATAACAATGAGCAGGAGGCCAAGTTCAGATGCTATAGGAAGGCCAATGTATTTACTATCCTATCCAGGACAGGAATATGGGAATGAAGAATAAAATAAAAGCACGGCCACATTTTCTTATTGTCTGGAAAGCAAAAGAAACCCAGGATTTTTATATAAAATCACCTCTGTGTAGCTAACCACAGCCACTGAAGTATGAGTTTGATCCCTGGCCAGGAAGCTGACCCACTTGGCACAGCAGACCTCTCCTGTTATCTCCACTGTTTCCCTCAGCAGTGTATTTCAATCACTGTAACTATTCCTCTTTCTCTGGTGAATCCTCTCAACCCCACACCTCTGGCCTATATCCCAGCTCTTATATGTAAAAATAAATAAATGCAAGACGAAAACTAGGAGAAAAATATAAATGAATATGTATCAAATCTTCAATCTGGAGGTTGTTTTTAGTCACAGTAATTAAAGAAGTCACAGCAGAATTTTCACATCTATAATTTAACAAAAATTAAAAAACATTTAATATGGAAAAAACCCAATTGCTCTAGAAAAGGGCAACAGATAAAGAAGCTTGAGGAAGAGCTAGATAAGTGCCTACATAAAGAGAATTTTAAAGACTAACGTGGAAAACAGCAATAAGAAAATCTTGTGCCTGAATCATAGTGATTTGGGGCAACCCGAATAGTTATCTAATGGCGGTACAGGAGAGACATGACTTAAGTTATCTTGTGCCAACCCACGGATATCTTCAGTAAAATCTACATACCACTCATTTTTTAGCTGACTTTTTTATTTTAATAGGAGTGGGAAAGCAATAATCACTGAGTTCTCCTTTAAGGTTGTCCTCAAGTAATTACAGAGAAGCTATGGAAAGTTTGCCAAACTCTATATTAAACAAGGATTTAAATTTGCCTTTACAAGGAACCTAAACAGAAATGCTTAGTATGCCTCAAAATTGTGCAGAAAGGCAACTCTTCTTATAGAGATTTTGAAAAAATTAAAAGCTTCCTTAAAATAAACTTGAAATGTTTCAGAAGATGAAATTCAAATGCATTCTGAATGTCTTCTGTTCAAGACAGCTAAGATCTTTGAAAGGTAAAATGATGACTTCTCTGAAGAGCTCTAGAGAGAAAATGAAAATGAAGTTGTGCTTGCTGGACATTTTTCAAATGCTTTAGTAAACTTCAGTATTAAGATTCTTTCATAATGTACATTTCCACAGATTTTCTTCAAGTTGATGTGGGGAGAAATAATCTTGTGTGAAGACCTTGAAATATTTAGGCAAATGCAGTTATGTCTTTGAGTACTTTCAGGTTACTTCATGTTATACAAATCAGGTTATCTTGAAGTTCACAATTTTGTAAGAATTGTGCCTGGTTTGAAATTATAAATACATCATAACAAATCAGTCTCCTTTGAAATGCATTCACATAGTGAATGGTGGGGAACAACCCTGTTCTAGTTTTTTAAAGTCTTCATTTAGTGTACATTTTCCACTGGGAAGTATATGAGTCTGTTTCATCACCTGCCTTGTCTCTGACGGGGAGGCTGGTGCTTAGGTATGAATCTTTCTTTTCCTTTTAAACATGTTTTCCTTATAGAAAAAACCTGAAGGATAAGTTTCGATCTTTGTAAGCCATGAACAGGTTTCTCTTCTCAGAGTGAAATTTTCTGAATTGAGATATGCTATTCCTAAATAAAAGCAGCAAATACGAAAACACTGGGCATGGAAAGGTGTGGTAGGTGGAGAAAATGACTTCTTCATCTTCATGGAAATCAAATAAAAATATGTTCTGAATCAACATTTTAAGTTTTCACTATATTGAAAGCACAAAAGTGTAAATGTTATAGGTACTAAAATCTTCACAGATAAATGAGTATTAATGTTTACAAAATTTTCAATGTATTATTGCCAAAGCATAATATTTAAGAAAATATGTCACCGAGCAAAACATACATAACTAGTTTTAAATCTCTGCCAAAATAAAATGATACTAAGGAAATAAAAAATAAAATCCATTTTTAAGTGGCACTCACCAATCACAATGGAAGACTCACAGTGGTAATAGCCATTACTTTGTTTTTCCTTCAGCATGGAACAAAGATCTATGCGATACACCATCTCTTCTCCAAATTTGTGACTGATAAATTTTTCATAAATTTCAGGATCTATTTTTTTCACTCCCTTGAAATAACAAAACATAATTACATCAGTCAGGCATTTCATCTAGGTAAGTCAGGTCTTATTTATATCATATTTTTAGAACCTGTCCTAAAGATGCTTCAGTCTTTCTGCCTAGGATAATTAAAAAGAAAATCATTAGAGCATTGAGTTTATATTTTGGCAGCACTCAGAACTTCAAATACTCTAAACTTCAGCAACAAATTATATCAAGTTGAAATGTAAGTTATAAAGGATAGAGTAATCATTTTCAACAGAGAAATGGGTGTGTTTAAGTGACACAAATCTCAACATTTTATAATGTGAAAAAATGTTCCATTGGTGTACTCAAGTTTTCAAACTGCATACGAAGGAAAGACAATGAAATTATTTGAACTGAAACAGGGTATCCACGAATCCTCCAAGTTCTTCGCTATTGTCCCTTCTATTTCTCAGTATGCTTTCACAACAGCAAGATGCCTAATTTTTGAAAAATCACAGTGGGATGCCCTTGGTAGCTCTGTAGTTTCCCAGAACAAGGAAAGAACATATCGCCCACCCTTACTATACAACAGGCCAGCACCCATTTCAATGTCCCAAAATACAGTCAATATGTTACATGACAAGCTTACTAGCTTGACTATGTGTGAACTTTTCCTCTTAATTTATACATTTTTTATATTTCTCTAGCAATACTTGTCATTGCTGCAAATATGAAAATTCTAGAAAAAAAAATTCATGATCCTACTAATATAAGGTATTAAGACTGTGCTGTAGATAAGGTCTTTTTCAATAGACATATATTATTTTCAGATCTTACCTAAATCTTACCAAAGTGTAATTATAGCACTTATTTCTCCTTTATATAATAAAACAAGAAGTTTTATTATAAAAATTTTTTTATATAAAAACAAAAAAATTAAATCACCCCAAACTGCTACTACTCTAATTTCGGTATACAGTATGATGTCATTTTTTGGACTTCGTGTGGGGTCCGTGGGTTCACTTTGGGAAAGGTTTCAACACAGCTCCCTTTGCAGTGGCATGGGGTGAGTTTCCCAGGCGAATTTTCTCCACAAGACAGAGACTCAGTTATATTTAAAAAGCAGATTTATTAGGGAAAAGGACAGAGGAGTTAAAAGACTCTTGCATTGGCACAATCAGGCAGGAAGAGCTGCCCCAAAGGAACAGGCTTTCAGAGAGAGGTCTACAAGTTGCAGGCAGGCAGCCTTAAGAGCGCAGCCTCCACTGGGGGAGGTCAGTGCAGAGAAACCCGGGCATGGCACAGGTCACAGGCAGGCAGGAGGCTGCTGCCCTGCGGAGGGAGAGAGCGGGTGGAAAGACGCACCTGCATAGGCACAGGTGGGCAGAGGACTGCTGCCCGGAGCCAGTGCCCTGATAGAGTCCTTTTCTCTTTGGGAGGGGCTCACGCCTTTGTGGAGTGGCCTGTTTGCTGCTGATTTTGGAGAACTATGTGGAATCCTAAAGGGACCTGAGATTTCACAGTAGGTCCAATATCTCTATCTTTACCCTCCGGTCTGTGCTCCCTACAGCAGTCTGATATGGGAGTCTGACACCTGCTTGGGCCTTATGCCTTGTGATAATATACCAAGGGTCTTGATTTCTATGACTGGGTTAATGGTCATGTTAGTCCCTTCTGCTCCCACCTCCTTGCATGAGTCAGGTTTTAACCTTGTGATGTCTCCTTTAGGTTTTCTACTCTCCTCCTCCATCACAGTATATTTCTCTTATGCAAAATAAACACATTTTTCTCTTTTTATAGGCTATGCCATGAGTAGTTTTTATTTTCTTAGTTAATAGTCAAGTCCATAAGTAATATATAGATATATATAACATTTTATGTCCGTATAGTATACCATTTTTTGGTGATATCCTAGTGAGCTCATTCTTTACTAGAGGGCAATTAAATTAGATGGTTCTAAATTTTTTATATTATATTTAACATGTCATTGCTGATGCGTTTTTTGTTCTATGTCCAAACTGCACCCCTCATCTTTCCTAACTGCTCCACTCACAGACATTCCTAACCCAGTTACTTGATTCCCCTATTTCTTTCAACGCCACATCCAATCAAATCCTATTAGCTCTATCTTCAAAATACATCCAGTTCCTCATTACCTTTGAGCAGCCTTTTTTCTGTGCTTCGCCAGAATTTTGCAAATGATCTCTTGTTTTCCCACCCTCATCTCTTCTATAGCCAGAGTGATACTATAAAGTGACACATCAGATCAGGTCATTCTGCTGCTCAATCCAGTGTCCTCATTTCTCTCAAGGATCCAGTTTCCCAAACAGCCTTCAACGTACTATTTTGCCAACTGCTGTGCTTCTTGCGCATTGTCTCCTATTACTTTCCCTTTCATCCCCCTCCAATTTCCTGACTTACTGTTTCTTGACATGACAAGCACAAACCCACCTCAAAGTCTTTGAGCTGCCCATTGCCTTTTTTTCCCTCTTTTTTTTGGGGGATAACATTTCCCCAGTTATCGTCAAGGCCCATCACACATCTGCTTTCATACCTTGCTAAAACATTACTTTCCTACTACGGTCTCACCTGGCCACCCTATTTTATTTGCATTCCTGCCCCAATTTGGTACTCCCAAATTCTCTCACCCTTTATCTTTATAGATCTTTATGTAAATACTTCCAAGTTATTTACTATCTTCAAACAAATTATGTTATTTACATTTTATGATGTAAAATCATTTCATGATTTTTCATGTCCATCATGATCTATCTCCTAGTTATTTACATTTTATGATGTAAAATCATTTCATGATTTTTCATGTCCATCATGATCTATCTCCTAGTTAGAATGTAAGCTCTACACAGGAAAGAATTTTTGTTTGATTTTTATTTACTGAAATACTTTCAAAGCCTGGATAGTACTTGACAAAGAGTAGTACTCAATAAATATATCACAAATGCAGAGAAGGATAGTTTCCAGGAATGACGAGTTGACATCGAATGCTATTCACAATTCAGTAAAAATGAAACTGAGTGGATTTTTAAATCTGTTAAGTAGGCTGTCTCAGAGAAAGAGCTGAGCATGATGCTTTAGAGCAGTCAGAATGTGAGTTCAAATCCTGACTGACACTTCAGCTATGTGGTTTCACTCCACATCCCCATTTATAAAATGGGTTTGTTATAGCACCTACCTCTAAGTGTCATATGACTTAAATAAGGAAAATATTTTTAAATGCTGAAAACACTGACATATATATTAAATGTCATGATATATATAATCATTATGGAGCTTAAGGAAATAATTTCAGTAGAGATAAGATTTTTAAAAGAATCTGAGTCAACAGAAACTGAACATTCTTGTCTCTCTTTTAAATACTTGTGGGTATGCTGGGGTAGGGACATTCCTATTGTTCCCATAGAATAAAAAGGAAAAGGTCAGCACTAACTTAGCAGATAACTTAGCAGGATATAGACTTTTCAAAATGCTAACCATTCTAATCTCTATTTTAGTTCTAAAAGATTTTCTAAAAAGACTATGTGAAGGAAATATATAGGGACAGCTAATTATGTTAGGCTAGTTTATTTAACATTAGCAAAAAGTAAGTTCCAACCATTTTGCAAAAATTTTTCACAGGTGATTTCCAACATTAAGGAACTAATTTTTATTCAAGTGGAAAGAATTCAATTCACTGATTCATGAATTAGAGAGAGAGTAGTGGTTCAAAGAGGTGTCATGCCCTGATGAGAAAACAACAATAATAATATATCTATAAATATGTAAGAATCTGTTTTTTTCATATATAATGTAAGTATGATCTTTGTTCTCTGAAGAATTTTTTGTTTAGCAATATACTTATTTCCTAGAAACATCTATCTGAATAAGTCCCATCATCCAGCTGCAGCAGGTGGTGTTTTAATTTCATAATAAAAGGATTGTCCTTCTAAGAAAATAGAACTTTTTATAGAAAAAATAGAACTTTTTATAGAAAATCCACTAAGAAACTAGTGCATATCATTTAGGGTAAGGCTAAGAAGTTTACTATTTTCTAAGTAGCACCATGGGGTTGTCAAAATCATCCCAGAAACATAACCTACAAGGATCTATTTTAAAGCTAAAAAAACTGATGATGGCATTATTTTCAGCTTTTGGACCATCAAATTATTCCTTGCTTTCCTTCTTCACGGGTCAGAATCCCTCTGAGGAATCTTGTTATGTACAGATGAATGGAGGTATAACATGTTAGGAGAATTCAAAGAAGAACAGAAAAGTGGCTAATGTTAGGAAAATTTGACCTGTAAGGAGAGTTGGGATTGTTTCAAATGTAGAAGAATATTATATGGGGTATCATCAACAAAACTGCTCAAGGAGTTATAATGCTGGAATTCTGTGTATGCAAGATTAGAGTCTAGTACTGTGTTTAAAAACTACTTTGCCTTGGACTAACAAGAGCAGAGTATATATTGAAAGACTTCATACTTATCACTGTACCAAATATAGGTGGTATATCCACTATGCATCATAACAATGAAGAAGAAATTAGGTAATTAAATACAGGATCACATTTTGAAATAATAAATTAGTGGCAAGAAACATCAAACGAAACTGTTTCGTTATTTATAAAGAACTAAAGTTTTATTTTTCTTTAGTCTAGTCTTAGTGAAAGATGAGAGAGAATTAACAATGATAACCTTTGATACAATGTACCATGAAACACAGAGGAACATTATTCTTGAATATAAGGTGGCAATCAACAGCCAACACTGGAAAATGCCATCAAGATCCTGGTGAGTATTTTTAGAATCTAATGGCTGCATCTGATAAGTAATGGAAATTATTTACTTAGGAAGCACTCACCATATCATTTATATTTCGCTAAGTCGTGCCTATAATTTAATATATTCCAAAGAGGGCTCAGACTTATATTACTATGCATCCAATTCTATTTTCAATATAGGAAGTAAACAGAGCCAAGAAATATGAATTTTCACTTTAGTTAACAATTTGAATGTGAAAATAATCCACTTAAGGGTCTGGAAGA